ATTGTTCTCCCTTCACTCCAACCTTTTAAAAAATTCCTTATTTCTATCTTCTGCTTATGAAATCTTCAACCTTGGACTTTTTTTAGTATGATTTATTTCACTCATCACAATGTTGTCCAGTTTCATCCATTTACCAGCAAACGATGTGATTTCATTTTTCTTTGTGACTGGGTAAAACTCCACTGCATATGTAGACAACATTTTCTACATCCAGCTGTCACTGAGGACACCTAATCTGGTTCTATAATGTGGCCATTGTAAATTCTGCTGCTATCAATATTGCTATGCATGTATCAATACATTATGTTGATTTTAGTTCTTTTATATAAATACTGAGTGGGATACTGGGTCATACGGTAGTTTTCATTCCTAGTCTTTAAGGAATCTCCTATTTTCCAAAGTGGTTGTACTAATTAGCGTTCTCACGAACATTCTTGCCAGCTTACAAACAACTCCCTTTAAGATTTTAAATAAAAGAAATAGCCCAAGCCTGATAAACTCATCTGTAGATAGAAATCATATTAAACTTACTAACTTAGGTTTGGCAGAATTATGTAAATCACACAGGATGGATCTGTAATGGGTCATCTAGAGAAATTGAGAGGTTTTTTTTTTTTTTTTTTTAAGTTGACATTAGGAATGATCAAAATCCCTGGTGCTACTGAGAAGACATGTTATCCAATGAGATAAATGGTGTCAGAAAATTTTATGTCATATATGAAATTTTGTCATATAGCATGCATTTTTTTCATCATTAATCCTCATCTTCTCTTTTCAGTGTGAATTCTAACTATGGAAGAACACCTCTGAAAGCCAGAACCATAAACACATTTTTAATTTTCTGAGGACTTAAAGCCTGGGGGATAATACTGTAGGAGGAAAAAAAAAATTATTCCCAGCCCTCCAAACTGCCAATGTGTTTGACTTATCATGGATAAGTTTTAGCATCTCACATTAGAATATTTTGAGGCCTTTATATCAAATTTACATTTTTAAGGCAACATATTTTGAGTTCTATAACAAACTGGCAAAAAATCAGAATTGTTTAATGTTATAAATTAGAATGTATGTTATAAATTAGAATCAAGGTGGGGACTATGGAAAGCAGAACGATTGTAAGTAGAGCTGAGCAATTTCATAGCCATCTTTCTATATAAATCATTTGCAAGTAAATACATGAATTTAAATGTATCCAATTTCCAGAGATAAAATTATGTGCATATAAATTCAAGTATTTTACCATTTCTGTGGCAAAATACAGAAGTTTCAGAAGTCATTAGGCAAAAGACATTGCAAAAATAATTTATCTTTGAAATCTCTCAAAGTTTATTTCCAGAATATTACAAGTACACTTCTATCATGAGCCAGGAAGCAGAAATGAAAACAGAAAGCATTATGGGACCTCAGAGTCCCTGTAAAGGCTTGTCCCCAATGACCTAAGGATCTCCCACTAGTCCCCAACTCCTAAAAATCCCACCAACCTACATACCATATATAATTTAATTTTATTTCATATAATTTTATTGCAGAAAACTTGGAAAATTAGTTTTTAAGTCACAAATAAAAACCACTAGTAATATTATTTTTGAAATTCTTAATATCTTTTGACTAAAAGTGAAGGTAATATTGACAATAACAAGTACAGCACCTCTCCCCCAAATCTCAATCTTTAACCATTTGGGAATTTTGCAGCCATATTTGCAAGTATCTCTTTTCCAAGAATTTCTATAATAGGTCTGAAAAAATGGGAGATATTCACTTAATTCTAAAAAAGACTTGAAGTTCATAAAGTAAAAGTAACTTGGTGGTATAGTTTGGATGATGAATATCCCCCAACGGTCCATATTTAAAAGGCTTGGTAGGTAGGTTGGTGGGATTTTTAGGAGGTTGGGACTAGTCGAGATCCTTAGGTCATTGGGGACAAGCCCTTACAGGGACAGACTATGATGTCCCATAATGTTTTGTTTTCATTTCTGCTTCCTGGCTCATGATAGAAGTGATTTATTCCACATGCTCTCTTGATATGATGTGCTGCTCTTGCTAGAGGACCAAAGAAATGGCACCACTTCATCCTGGACTAGAACCTTGAGAACAGTGAGTCAAAATAGACCTCTCAAGTGTACTGCCGCAGGCATTTTGTTATAACAACATGAAGTTGACTTATACATTTGCCACTAGCACCTGGTAGAATCACATTCAAATCCAAATTTGGTCATTTCTTTTTACTATATATATAATGCTGCCTTTAAGTCAAAAAGCTCATGACCTGCTTGACTTTGATTTAAAACCTGTCATATTGTTAATGAGATTATTTTTCAAAGATTTAATTTAAACTCCAATAGTTCTTTGAAAGGTTTTGCTACTGGACAGCAGTGTATTTCCCACTTTTTTTTTCTTTTTACAATGGCTGAAGTGATTACTAGTCTGTATTAAAACCCATGTGAAGTAAAAACTTTACGACATGAAAGTGTCTTAAGCATACAGACTGAGATATGTATGTTCAAGATGTTGTACCTCTCACATATTGAGACACACCATATCTCGCGCTGCTTGTCCTTGATTTAAAGCCCTCATTCTGACTCAAAAGAAAATTTAATTTCCTCCCACTCTTTCCCAACAGCCCTTCAAAAACAGGAGCAAAACAAAGGATGAGGAAACCTTCAGCAGTCATTCTAATGACTTTTTTCCTGGAAAAAAAAAGTTTTCCCTTGGTACTGGGGATTGAACCCAGAGAAACCTTACTGTGCTACCTCTTCAGCTCTTTTCATTTTTAGTCAGGATCTCACTGAATTGCTCAGGTTCAACTTGAACTTGTGTCCTCCCTCCTCAGCCAAGTTGCTGGGATTATTTATAGGTGTGTCCACACCTTTTCTTCCCATCTTATTCCGCAGATACACATTTGGGATGTGTAGCATATATGGATACTTGTGGATACAGAATGAAATCTGACAAACGTGAAAGCTTTACACAGCTCATTCAAAGAATGCTATTAAGATTTTATAGTCTAAGCACATCAGTTACAGAATGATTAAAATGGTTTTATTCATTGACATAATGGAATAATGAAAGGAATACTTAGCTGCTCCTTTTGGTGGTTTGCTGGTACCTGTTGGCCTGTGTGGCTGCTACTGCAGTATGTCGTGGGCTTTGGGCCCACTACAGGGGTCTGCTTAGCCACTGGCATGAGGGAGGGGCAGTAGTCTGGAAATGCTCAGTTGTCTCATGGAGACTTGTGTGATGAGTGGGTGGACTTTTGATCAGTTGGTTTTATAAATGAGTTGGGAAAATATAATAATGGGAGATAGGTTTCTCTTATTTAGAATAACGGGAGATAGGTTTCTGTAAGAGAAAGGAGCTACAAATACGCAAAGAGAGAAGCTAAAATAAACCCTGATGATAAAACTGGATTGGAAGTCACCAATGTGAATTTTCTGGCTTCTTATGTAGGGAGATGTCAAGATCAAGGAACTCTTCCAGATTGAAGCTAAAGCAACATGGCAACAAATGCCATGAGTACCTCTGGAACTGGCAGCCCTATAAAGGACATTACTGGGTTACCTAATGAAATTTGAATGGGGGTCCATACCTTACTGAATCAAAGATAACTTCTTTTAATGAGTCATGTGTAAGTGCAATTCTATTCTTATAAAACACACTGGAGTGACAAGGCACCATGACTTCAACTTAAATAGTTCAGGGAAAATATAGCATATATGTGTATAAAAAAAAAACACAGAAAATATACATGTATATAACAGCTGACAAATGGAGGCCCTGGAAAAGGGAATAAAGGTCCCTGTACTTAGGGCAACTTTTCTGTAAGATTTAAAACTTCATTTTGAAATTTCAAAGACTCTCTCTATATAGAACAACCTAAGTGAAAAGGTGGCAAAATGTATATCATACCACTCTTTGTGTAAGAGTGATAGGGAGAGTATGGACACACATTTTTATATATTTCTTTAGTTGTAGATGGACACAATTTTTATGTGGTGCTGAGGATTAAACCCAGTGCCTCACATGTGTTAGGCACTGTACCACTGAGCCACAACCTCAGCCTTTGAGTATATTCTTGTATATGCAAAACACCTCTAGAAACATGATCTATATTGGTTTCTTGCACAGATGGAAAATGGGTGGCTAGAAAAGAATGAAGTTTCTATTCTCTGAAGTTTTTAAATTTGGGGCTATATGATATGTAGCAACTTAAATACACTTTTTTTTTTTTTTTTAAGCATTTGCCAAATGCAAGTGTCACACTGGCTACCCTTAGAAACACTCAGGAAGTATTTAAAACTAGATGAGACTGGGGATGGTGGCACATGCATGTAATCCCAGTGGCTGAAGATTTCAAAGCCAACCTTGGCTATTTAGCAAGGCCCTAAGCAACTTAGGAAAATCCCCTCTCAAAATTATAGCAAGGGCTGGGGATGTGGCTCAGTGGTTAAGTTCCTATAGGTTCAATCCATAATTAAAAACAAAATAAAAAACAAAAAAAAACCTCCTAGATGAGTAGGCCTCAATTTCCAAAGTTCCATTTCAGCAGGCCCAGGGTTAAGAATCAGTAAGATTTCTCTAGTTAATCCTCAAATATATGGCACCTGGGAATTGCTGTTTTAACCAAATTACCCAAGTGTGATCCACTCTAATCCCAAAATTTTAATTATATTAGGAAATTAGAAATACTATGTCCAATGACAGAAATAAAACATAATCTGGGAAAAGAACACTTCAAAAGTGAAATTAGAATATTTGCAATGACTACTGAATAGAAGCAGCCAAGTCATAGGAGTCAATTTACCTTCCTGGCTTCCCTTACTAAGAACTCAAGTACTGTCCAAGCCAAGGTCACCTGAAAATTACATAGCAATTTGCAACATATTCAAATACTCTGCATTTTTAAGAAGGTATATTCTTTGTAAATCTTTGTAAATGCATAATACACATGATTAGTTATTTTTATTCAGTTAGTACAAGCAGATAAAGTCACACTGTAGATCTCAGTGGTGAGTTCTTCAGTGTTCAATTTATTGGTGTGCTTTCTCTCAACATACATAAACTACTTTTTATATGCATCAGATATTACATAACAATATAATTTTCTTAAAAAAAAAAAAGAACAATTGTTTAGGCATTACATTTAAAAAGAATACAAGAAAACTAAGCATTACATGCCAGCAGTACATATTTATTATTCATGAGTGGTCAAAAGAATTACAAGAGCTATTATTATTATTATAACCACACATATGAAATATTACTTAGCAACATGGGATGAAAAGAACAGTTCTATATTTATATTTAAAAATACACATACACACTCTCTCAAATGCTCACCATACACTGCTAGGAAAGCAGAAGGCATCAAGCTGCAGAAGTTCCCATATACATAACATATTGAAGTATCTCAAGCATAAAAACTGTACTTAAGTTGCAAAAATAAAGTTTCTTTCTTCAAATATTTTGATCTGAGCTCAAGCAAAGCACATAATGAACACCAATGATTTTTGTATGACTTCACACTTTAAACAATCAACATACAAGTCAACAGCTTAAAAAAAAAAAAAAACCTGAAAATACAGAACTCGTAGAAATGAACAATGCATTTCATACAAAATAAGTCTACAGCAGATTGATTCATCCTGGCTCGAAATATTTAAGAATCATAATTTTATTTCAAATTGTAAATTAAGCCAGAACAAATATGATAAACAAAAATCATCACTAAATAAAGCATCATTGCCCTATAGTTTCTTTAGACAATTTCACTAGTGCAAGAGCATCATTTACCTGAAAGATTTATTTAAGAGTCACAATTAAAGAGTACCCATACAAAACTATTTCCTTTTTTCTTTAAAAAGTGCCACATACTATATACTTTTCATTAAAAAACAAAAAAACAAAAAAAAACAAAACACAAACTAGTGAAAGACTGTCTGTCTCCATCTCTTGTCAATGAGGAAAGGCCAGAGTGATTCCTTGATTCCAATTCGAAATGGTGTTCGCTGGCCAATGCCCAAGGTCTCCAATTTGGAACAGTCAAGCTGAGCATTATGTGGACGTTGTGCTCCTATGACTGGGCTGTCAGTGATCTTTAAGGGAGAAAAAAAAAAATTGCAAGACAATGAAGGACCACACCTTCAGGATTTTATTCTTATATCATTTTGCATATAGTTCCAGAAAACTGATTTGTATCATCCCTGGAAGTAAAGTATTATTTTGATGGCAGACATTTAACTTCATCAATACTCATGGACTTTTTTTTTTTTTTTAAACAGATAATAATTTAGAGAAAAGTATCACTACAAACTGAAAACATATGAGCAAAGTTCACTCTGATTAGTACCAGGAAATAATGTTATCCAAAAGCAGCAAACAATAATACACACTACAGTGAAGGATCTAGACTTTTAAGAAGTCAGGAGTTTTTAAATGCCATGTACTTACAGGTCTTAAGTGACTGCTGGGGAGGTTGAAGGCATCTGCAATTGCACATGCCATTTCATACTTGGTCATCTGTTCATTACCAGACCAGTGAAAGGTTCCCTTAATTGATGGGTCCTATGAATAAGGACACAAAAAATTCAAAATAGTTTCAAACTTTTGGGTTGAATGGAATGATAGATTTGACAAGAAAGCTAATTTATAAAAGATCCAAGAACTAAAATGCAACATTCATTTTCTGGAATACTTTCCACAATTATCTAAAAATCCAATTCCTATTACTCTTACCAGCTAAGCACCACACACAAAATATTTTTCTAAAATTCATTCTGAGGAACTTTTTTCAAATAAAAATGTAAATGCCTCCAATTTTACATAATAATAACCCTGAAAATTAAGACATTTTCATGGAAATAGACTAAGTTAATGAATACTTTAAATTATTCTAAAAGGCTAAAACCAAATTTAATAAGCATGTTTTCAAGATAAGATAATTATTCTTATTATAAATAATATACTACTAAAAAAAAAAAAAAGATCAAAATACAGCCAGGTATGGTGGTTCACACCTGTAATCCCAGAGGCTCAGAAGGCTGAGGTCTTAAGCAAATCAGTGAGATCCTGTCTCTCAATAATATACAAAATAGGGCTGCGATATGTCTCAGTGGTCAAGTGCCCCCAGTTCAATCCCTGGTAACAGGGGGGGGGAATCAAAATACATATAATATATATATGTGAACCGTGCTATTAACAAAACTTTAAATCTGTTTAGTGCCAACTTTCTCAAATATTTAAAATTAACTCTTATTCAAACTACAAAATACAAACTTTTTTTTTTCTTTTGGCAGTACCGGGGACTAAATCAATGGGGTGCTTTATCACTGAGCTACATCCATAGCCTTTTATAAACAAAAATCATCACTGACCTCAAACTTGCGATATGCCTGCCTCAGCTTCCCAAGTCACAGGGATTACAGACATGCACCACCATGCCCCATCAATTATTCTCAATGTGGGTAAAATGACTAAATTCCTACTTAAGATTCTTCTTTGGCACTACAATTTTCTGGGGGGGGGTACCAGGGATTGAACCAGGGGAACTTAACCATTGAACTACACCCCCCAGCTGCCTTTTTAATTTTGAGATAGGTTGTTGTTAAGTTGCTTGGAGCCTTACTAAATTGCTGAGGCGGGCCTTGAACTTGCAATTCTCCTGCCTCAGCTTCCCAAGTCACTAGGATTATAGGTGTGCACCACCTAGCCTGGCTATATCTTAATCAACAAAACTTCTAAGTCATCAGGTGATGCTGGGTGCAGTGGTGAACACCTGTAATCCCAGTGGTACAGGAGGCTGAGGCAAGAGAATCATGAGTTCAAAGCAAGCCTCAGAAATTTAGCAAGGCCCTAAAACAACTCGGCGGGATCCTGTTTCGATGTGGCTCAGAGATTAAGGACCCCTGGGTTCAGTTCCCAGTACCAAACAAACAAAAAAGACATTAGTGGCTGGGGACATAGCTCAGTTGGTAGAGTGCCTGCCTTACATGCACAAGGCCCTGGGTTCGAAAAGATATTAGGTAATTAGTTTATTACCTAAACAACAACTACAAATTTTCTGTCACTCTACAAAAAAAAAAAAAAAGATGGGGTCTGTAAATATGTAAGAAATAAACAAACATGAGAATATTTTTATCCTTTATGAATATAGTGTATCACCTATAAACTATTTTTGTTTGGTCTCCTAGTTTTAAAAAGGCATTTTTAACTTTCACTGACACTCCAAGTGTAGCTATGAAAGTTTAAGCATGGAAAAGACAAGTGAATATTAAGATGGAAGCTAGGAACCATTCCTGCCAAAGACTCACCAGCATTCTCTTTTCTGCCAGTTGTCGACACACAGTAGCCACATCTTTGACATGTGTGGGAAACCTCTGCTGCCAATGGTCCATGTTTGCTGACTTGTTGCTGAACTGCACTTTATCAAACATGACCGTCACAGCACTTTCTTCAAGCTTTTCAACTTCTCCATACAGAACAGGAATTCTCAAAACAGCAGCTCCTAGAGATTAATATAAACAGACGTTTTAAAACCTAATGTTTCCTAGGTTTTGATAAAAGAACAATATGTGGATTTAAGGAGTATCACAATAAAAAACTTGCCTTTTAACAAAAATATACCAAAATAACACAGCTCACCTGTTATCATGCCAACTTAATAAACATGATCTTGATATGATAAACATCTTTTGTCACTTGGGATGTGTTTACATGTAACTTTATTCCTTTATTATATTTTATTCTGAGAGAAGTTTTGCTAAATTACTGGGATTACAGGTTGTCTACCCCTACACCTGGCCCCCAATTTCTATATTATAATCATTAAAAATAAAACCTATAGGACAACAAATACAATAAATAATGCTGATTGGATGCCAGATTAAAAGAAAAAACAATAAAGAACATTTTATTCAAAGTAGAACATAGCAATTATAAAGATGAGCTAGGCATGATGGTGCACACTTATATTACCAGTGACTTGGGAGACTAAGGTAAGGAGATAACAAGATATAGGCCAGCCTCAACAATTTAGTGAAACCCTGCTCAAAAAAAGAAAAAAAAAAAAAAGAAGTGCGGAGGAGAGGGATGACTGGGGATGTAAATCATATAGAATGTCCCAGGGTTCAATCCCCAGTACCTCAAAAGAAGGGAAAAAAAAAAAAAAGTTGCAGAGATGTATACGCATATATTGATAGTGCGGGAAAAAGTCTAGAATGTACAAATCCTTCAGGATTTTAAAAATCCTTGTTTTTTCTTTTTATTAACTATATTCTCTAATTTTTCTCCAATGATTTATATTCCTTGATTTAAAAACCCAAAACAAAACCATATCTCTCCTAAATAAAATTTCTGCAAAACTTTAATCAGGGGCTAAAGAGGAATGTCTTACCCAAGTTATTCTCCAGGACTGCCTTTTCTCCTTCTAATTTTGTTTTACCATACAAATTTAGGGGACTTGGTATGTCTTCCTCACTGTAAGGTGGATCTGTTCCATCAAATACATAATCTGAGCTAATATAAATGAGAAATGCTCCAATTGCAGCTACAAAAGAAAAAAAATGAATCTATTAAGTCTTTTACAAGACATTACTCTTCAGTGGAATTTAGAACAGTGTGTTCTGTGCAATATTACAAATCTCTTATAACTCATCTACAAAACTTTAATCTTTAAAAATTCAGGGATGATTTAATATTTTATGAAGATTTTATGAAGTCATCATTACCTGCTTCCTTAGCTAAATTCCCAGACGCATCCACATTAAGTTGAGAAGCAGCATCTGGCTGATTCTCTACAACATCTGGTCTTCTCTCTGCTGCACAATGTACTATGACATGAGGCTGGAAGGTAAGCATTAATGTATTTTTAATCCAAAATGGAATAAATTAGAGGAATTACAGCTTTTCCAGAGTAAATTAATTCAGAGAAAAATGTTCCTTAAATCAATATTTCTTCAACTAAGAATAAATTGATCACTGTTAATCTTTAATGTAGTCTTGTCACATTTCTTCATTCCCCCGAAGGTTCAAATTTCCTCAAATATATATAATAAGTCCACCCAAAGAAAAATTTTGTAATCCTTAGAAAAAAATCAGAAAAAACTCTCCCAACTATGTAGAAATAGAATTTAAGTATCAAAATAAATTTTAATCTCCCAATTTGAATGGGAGACCTAATATTTAATATATTTATGACAAAGGGGAAGTATTATCAATTGCAAATTTAAATCAAGAATTTTTTGATCAATTGCTTAATGAAAATCAAGTATGTGCAAGTACATATTCCTAGTTGAGCATCCAGACTGCCACCTATAAAACAGATATTTTGGGAAGACCAAGAATTTCATAATCTAGTGGAAAAGATGAATGTAAAGAGAATTTCACCGATGTGACAGACATCAAGATAAAGGTCTATAAAAGGTCCTCTTAGACAAAAGGCACCTAGTTGCCAGAGGAGCTGAGCGATAGCTAAGATCTAACAAGATGACTGACAGAGGCAGTGTATCATATACCAAGTTTACTCCTTCTCAACAATCAATTAAGGAGACATAATCATTGAGTGCTTCCAAGACTGTAAGTACATAATCTGGAGTGCTTCTTAAAATGCAACATTCTGGACCCCAAGAGGGATGATTTCCTGAGTTACAATCTCAGGGAATGAGACCTGAGAACATGTTTTCAAAATGATTCTGATGTAGGTGTTTCAGATATATAAAATATGTAATTTTTGAAAAATGTTTTTAACTTAGAAGTCATTCACAAATATGAAGGATTTTATGAAAAGCTTAAGTTTTTGTCTTTGCCAACCTGTATCACCCTAAGCTTTTTAATGATTACATATACCTTTGTCATGCTACAATAAACAGTACTGAATATTGTGGGTGCTTTTAAATATATCATTTTCCCTCTCAACAAGCACATTTTCTATGTCATCTAGAAAATCTTTAATAATTCATGTGTGTATTTAAATAAACAGACAACCATACCTGAAATTCATGAATGATGTGATGAACTGCATTAGTATCTAACAGATTAACCTGTTCAAATTTTGGTCTTGCTCTTCTAAAACCACAACCAACAGCATGCCAATTATTCTGGTGAAATTCTTTGTATACAGCTCTGCCAAGGAGTCCAGTGGCACCAGTAATTAGAACCCGCCTACTCGGGATGTTTACTTCCTCCTAAAAAAGAGAAAATGTGATTATTCACTTTGAAAATAATTCCCTCAAAGAAATGAGTTGCCATATTCACTAAATACTTCAAGTCGACTGCTTTTTAACCTTCTGTCATATCTACAAGTCAATACAAAGAATAAAAATTCATCAAAATGCATCAACAACTTTATCACTTCAAAGTTTTAAAGGAAAAAAACATAAAATGATCATCTTATTTGATTTAGATTTCATGGTAACAAAGGCAGGTTTTACATTTGATTGATGATGCCCCCCCAATGAGTAATAAACAGAAACTTTATGTACAGTTTATAAAAATATACAAGTTTTAATCTTTTTTATGGTCTGATTAAGTATTTAGATTATAACTGCCAATATGTTTATATAAGATGACATTTCTACTTTTCAGTTTTTAATCCCAAACTTTCCTTCAAACCTCAATTTATTTATCACATTTTGATGGTTCTGAGAATTAGCCAACATTTCAAAAGAGCTTATGTGAAAAAATAAATTGAGTCTTCACAACACAACATGTTTCCTAAATTTTACCAGATTAGAAAATGCTGAGTTAACTTTATATTTGCCTATATGAAATAGCTTCAGTAAACAGTGATGGAAAAAAAATATTTTAAATTGACCTATGTTCCTAGATTTAAAAAAAATTATACACAGACATTTAAGAGAAACACTATTTAATAAAATGTAAATTCTGGATATCCAAGACAAAGTTTCAAAATTTCTCTCTTCTCAAGATGAGTAACATTAAATTTCCTCCGAGACTCCAGAATAAAATCAACTTTCGCCATCTGGCAAAAGATGTAATTGGCTAGCTGTGACTGGTGATATACACCAGTAAACCCAGCAAGTCAGGAGGCGGAGGCAGAAGAATCTGCAAATCTGAGACCAGCCCCAGCAATTTTAGCAAGACCCTGTTTCAAAATAAAAAATAAAAGTGGGTAGGGGATATAGCTTAGTGGGCTCAATTCCCAGAAGTGCAAAAACTAAACAAAAAATATATATACATACATACACGTAAGTTAACAGTAAGATACTTTAAAGACTTAAGTTTTATCAACTTGAAGCCTTTTTACTTCAAGTGTTATTTTAGACATCTAAGTCTGAGCTGTCAAAAACTATGTATACAATAACCAAAGACATTTTTTTAAAACCTTACTTCAGTTATATTACTTATACACTTAAAAAAAAAAAACACAAAAGTCAGATATTTCTAGCTTACGAAAAACCTGAAATGAAAGGGCCGACAGGAAAAACCAGTAGAGGATAAATTCTTTTTTTTTTTTTTGAGAGAGAGAGAGAGAGAATTTTTTAATATTTATTTTTTTTGTTCTCGGTGGACACAACATCTTTGTTTGTATGTGGTGCTGAGGGCCGCACGCATGCCAGGCGAGCGTGCTACCACTTGAGCCACATCCCCAGCCCCTGAGATAAATTCTTAAGAATCATTATTATTGTTTAGTTCCTCCAATTTCAAAACATTTAAAAAGTTTAAAGCAATTTCATCCATGTTCTCTGTTGCGACATTTGGCTCTAAACCAGTTGATTTATGCAAAACGGATGTCAGTCAGCAAAATATTTTCTTTGAATTTTGGCAAGAAAACAGTTCTACAAAGATTTAACTGTAAAGAGGAAAAAATATTCCAAGTCTAGTAAAAATAAGATTCAGAAAACAACTTAGGCAGAATAAATTTTCCAAACTTTATTATAGGGAAGATACTATGAAAGACATAAGTGGGGCAGCCCGACAATCCCAACAGCTCAGGGGCTGAGACAGGAGAATTTCAAGTTCAAGGCCAGCCTCAGTTGCTTAGCAAGGCTCTCAGCAACTTAGACTCCTGTCTCAAAATACAAAATAAAAAGGGCTGAAAATACAGCTTAGTGGTAAACTGTCCGTGGATTAAATCCCTTCCCCTGAAAAGAGATGACTTAGTGTATTCTAAGTTTCTCATTTTTTTCTTCACTCTAGAGAAGTAAATGAATAGTTAACAGTTCTCAGGTACCATTTCATTCAGAGAAAAGGCACATACTGAATCCTAGGAACTCAGGAATCCAAGCAAGAGAAGCCCAAGTTTGAGATCAGCCTCAGAAACTTAATGATACTCCGTCTCAAAAATAAAAAGAACTGTGGGTGTGGCTCAGAGGTAAAGCAGCCCTGGCCTTTATCCCACCCTTCTTTTGTTCTAGTGAAAAACAGCTGACACTTGTTGGAGCTGTGACTCCCTTCCCAGACAGAGGCCCCAGTAAAAGCTTTGTCTGTATATTTGTACTCACTCAATTTCATTCCTATTGTCACCACATCAAAGTTCCCAGTCCATCATTACAGTGAGGTCCAGAATCAACTGGAGAGCTTTCAGAACTGTAGGTCTGATACTCCGCAGTTCTAACCATTTTCCAGGTGATTCTGGCTTGGGGACTGTATTTTGAGAACATTTGTAATCTTAAACTACAGGAAAGTGCAAAGCTTTTCATAAAGATACATTTCTTTTATCCAAACAAACAAGATACTGCTATTACCTTTCTAGAAATGATAATCTTTCCCTTAAAATGGAAAACTGGATGGAGCTGGAGATATAGCTCAGTAGGTAGAGTGCTTGCTTCACATGCACAAAGCCCTGGGTTCAAACCCCAGCACCATCAAAAAAGGGAAAACTGGAAATAGAAATCAAACCACAATGGTTATGAAACAGTGAATCTTAGGATCTTGGTACTTGACTGATTTCTGTGGAGAACATTTTCTGGTGAATGAAAAAGATGAATTTTATGAATGTGTCACAGTTTGGCAGGCTTTTTTTTTTTTTGCGCTATCTTAGAGCATCTTAAAATAAAAGCCCAGATGATCTTATGAATCTAAGAGCATCTTTAATTTTGTAAAGTATAAGTTTAAGAAGAAGGCAGCTAGCTCAGTGAGAAGGTACATGCCTGTAATCCCAAAGCCCAGGGAGGCAAAGAGAGGAGGGTTGCAAATTCCAAACCTGCCTCAGCAACTTAGTGAAGCCTCAGCAAGTTATTGAGTTTCTGTTTCAAAATAAAAAATAAAAAGGGGGCTGGGGATGTGGCTCAGTGTTAAAGTACCCAGAGTTTAATCCCCAAGAAGGAAAACAAAAAAATAAACAGGACTTGAATTTTGTAAAAGGTTTATCTGCATCAATTGATTCATTGTTTCTTTTTACCTGTATTCTGTAAATACAATGTATACCATTAGTTGATTTTCTCATGTTGATATGTTCTTGCTTTGCAAGAATAAATCTTACTACATCATGGTATAAAATCCATTGATCTTTCCCTTGGGAAAAAAATTCAAACAAAAAAAAGCTTTTGTTCTCATGGAACTATAACACTATAGCAAATTACATGGGGCTGGGTATATAACTGTAGTAGGGCTCTTGCCTCAGGCATGCATTGGGCCTTGGGTTCAATTCCTAGTACCAGAGGGGGGAAAAATTAAAGGTTTACTTTGAAATAGAATACAATTTAAAGACAAGGACTAATTAGATGAACTCTAAATTGGGCAAAGGTGTGGGAGGGGAAATGGGGGTAGAAAAGATGGTGGAATGAGATGGACATCATTACTCTAAGTACATGTATGAAGACACAAATGGCGTGACTCTACTTTGTGAATAACTAGAGATATAAAAAACTGTGCTCTATTGTGTAATATGAATTGTAATGCATTCTGCTGTCATATGTAACAAGTTAGAATACAAATAAAGAAAAACAAGAACAAGGGTTTCATGAGTAAAACACGACTTTATAACCTTATACCTTGGAATAATATATAAGATCCCAAGAAGAAAATATCAAATAATATACATTTCTTAGGAATCAAATGTTAATGCTTAAGAATTTTCTGTTATGAAAAAATGCAAGCACTATTGAAATGGGAATAACAGTATACAACCTTATATTTGAAATAATTCAAGTGTTATATAAATGTAGGCTGTTCCACTTTCGTAATTTCCAAAAGAGGACCCTGATTTTTTTTAAAGATTTTATCCATGGTAAAAAGAAAAAAGTTGTAAGCTGAACTTGAGTCTTATTGTTTCTATGGTCAAGCCAAATACAATGAATCTTGTTTCAACTCTCTGAACCTACATTTGGTTTGGTCAGTGATTAAAGTTTCATCTGCTATGCTACAAACTGTCATTCTGAGAAATTATTACATATCTATTGATCCGATTTCTCTTTGGCAAAATGAGGCATGTGGACTAGAGGACTAAGGCTCTTGCAACTTTAAGTTCTATAATTCTACCATTTTCTAAATTATCTTTCTTACAAAGGATCTGAAGAGGGAGAAAAGAGCTTCATTTACTTAAGGTAACTTTTTTCCCTTTTCAAATAGTTCAGGTCTCTCTAAAGACACAAAGAGCACCTTCTGTCATCTGTATAAGAGCAAAATCCAGCCCCCCCCCGCCCGCCCCCACCATATGGATTGCAAGTTTATTGGTAATTGAGAAACAGAATACACATTACAAATTAAAAATACCAAAAACAGCTCTTCCATTTTCCAGTTTATGTTTCTATATAAACTAAACTGTTCCTGAAGCTTTTAAAATTACACTGTTTTTTGTTATAGGAATATAACTATTCCTTTAAATATTACTTTAGACTATCATTAATTTACTTCCTGCAAAACACAGGAATGTCCAAACACTTCAAGGAATGAAGAAAAAAAAAAAGCTGCCCAGTTTACCCAAACCACAATAAAAAAAGTTATTTTAAGGGTAAAGCAGATCAAACATCAGTTTAACACCCTAACTGCAAAAATAAAACCAAGAATCAATAAGTGGGAAGCCATCAAACCAAAAAGCTTTTGCACAGCAAAGGAAACAAGAGTATGAAGAAAGACCTTATAGAATGGAAGAAAATCTTGGCTAGCTACTCCTGGGATAGGGGATTAATGTCCACAACACACAAAGAACTCAAAAACTTAAAAAAAAAAAAATCAATAAATGGGCAAAAGAATAGAAACTTCTTAAAAGAAGAAACACAAA